GCTCGCGGGGGAGGGGGCCGAGCCCCGTCCCCCCGCCCCCTCCCTGGGAGCCCGGAAATGAGGGCCACTCCGTCCGCCCCGACTCACCCCGGACTCAGGGTCCGCGGCCCGGGCCCCGGCGGCGGCTGAGGAAGGAGCGGAACCGAGGCGACCGCAAAAACGCGCACGATGGCAGGGCCCTGACGTGGCGGAAGTGATGGAGGCCTCCCCCTCCTTCCGCGCCGGAACCCCGCCCGGTCACGAAGGCGGGCGCGCCCGCCCGGCCTTCTGGGAAATGGAGTCCGCCGACCCGGCCCACTGCTGCGCATGCGCGGAGCCTGCCTCGCCGGCCAGGCAGTGGAGGGCGGTGCCCTCGGGGAGGGGCGTGGCTTTATCAGTGGACATGACCCTGGAGACGTGAGAAGCCGTCAGCCCAGGCCCGAGGGCCTTCGCTTTCCACGCGCAGCTGGAACTTCTCCCGAGGTTTCCCGCAGTGGCCCGGGGCCTCCTGGAGCGCGGAGTCTGCGCCGTGCTGTGCATACAGTAGGTGCCCAATGAAGGCTCCTCTGCGGGGGTGGGAGCTTTGGGTTAGGGTTAGTTTAAACCAACAAACATCGTTTGGCGGAGACCTTTTCCCCAGAGGAGCTCTAAAAGGTCACATGACCTAGATGCCAAGGGAGGCGGGGCAGGGAGATCTGCAGAAGGCGGAACACGCGTGACACCGTCAGACTTGGGGGCGGATGGAGACTGGAGAAGAGATCCTAGAGACGGGTCGTCAGGAGAAAGAGCCTGGACAGCTCCGTAAGGAGAAAGAGCCTGGACAGCTCCGTAAGGAGAAAGAGCCTGGACAGCTCCGTAAGGAGAAAGAGCCTGGACAGCTCCGTAAGGAGAAAGAGCCTGGACAGCTCCGTAAGGAGGAGTCATGCCCCAGTGGATGTGAATGCTCAGATGGTGTGAGGGGCGGATGAAGACATCAAAACCATTTACAGTCAAATGAAAAAATGCTCTAAATCACAATCAATTACTGATTAGAGAAATGCAAATTAAAACAACCTTGCGACCTATCAGCCTGGCTAAAACGGGAAGAGGAAAAGGACAAGCGCTGGAGCAGATGTGGAAAAATTGGGACCTTAATTCATTACTGGTGCCTCTGGGAGCCGATCCAGCCATTTGGAGAGAGATTTGGAACGATGCCCAAAGAGCCATTAAACTGCCTACACCCTCTGACCCAGCAATACCACCACTAGGTCTGTTTCCTAAGATGGTTAGGAAAAATGGAAAAGAACCTACCCGCTCTAAAATATTTCTAGCAGCAATCTTTGTAGAGGCAAAGAACTGGAAATTGTGGGGCTGCAGGTCAATTGGGGAATGGCTGAACAAGTTGTGGTATATGTTTGTGATGGAATATTACTCTGCTACAAGACGTGATGAGCTCAGTGATTTTAGAAAAACATGAGGAGACTTCCACGAAAAAATGAGTGAAATGAGCAGAACCAGGAGAACACTGTATACAGACGGCAGCAGCAGTATTGTTTTAAGAATGACGTTGAGCAACCAAGTCATTCTGTAATAAATACCCAACTTAATCTCAAAGATTCTATGAAGGAAGACGCTGTTTGAATCCAGAAAGGAATATTGCTCTGGTGTAGGACATGAAGAGCGGGCTGATTTAGAAACACAGGGAAAGACGGACTTATGAAGGAAGATGCTGTCCACCTTCGGAGAAATGGATGATAGGAAGAAATAAGCATAGTGTTTTAATATGTGTGTGGGTGTATATGTGTATGTTTATAGATATCTTTGTTTAGGTATAGATACCCATGCTTAATTGCAACCTTCTTTAGGGTTGGGGGTGGGGGGGAGGAAAAAATAAAGTAGAAAGGGCACAGCAGAGAACAGAGGAAAACCAACAGGGAAAAGTTGGGCAGCTTTGAAGACAATGTGCAGTAGTTATTACAGAGGTTTTCTTGAAATGGAAATTTATTATTTTATACTGAATCCTGGCAATTTTTTTTCTCATTTTGTATTCAAGTGTAGAATAAAAAAAAAATTGCAAAAAAAATTATTTGTTACCTGGGATGAGAAGGGGAAGGGATCCTGGGGGAATATTTTGGTGCTACAAAAAGAAAAAAAACCAAGAGATATCAATAAAAATTTATTTTTAAAAAGAGTAAAAACCATTCACCAACTGATAAATGGTCAAAGGATAAGAAGAGAAGTTTTTAGAGGAAGAAATCCAAGCTATCAAAAGCTGGATAAAAAAATGCTCTAAATCTCTAACAGAAATGCAAATTAAAACAACTCTGAGGTTTCACTTCACAGCCATAAGACCAGCCACGTTGACAAAAAACAGAAAATGACAGACTAGAGGAGGTGTGGGAAAACAGCGACATTAATGTTCTATTGCTGGTACTAGGAATGGTCTAGCCATCCTGGGAAGCAATTTAGAACTGTGCCCCCAAAGCTATTGAACAGTGTATATGCCCTCTGACCCACGGATATGGCTAGCCGGTCTATGCCCAAAAGAGAGCAAAGAAAGAAGAAAAGGACCTATATGTGCAAAAATATTTATAGCAGCTCTTTTCATGGTGGCAAAGAATGTGAAATTGAGGGGGTGCCCATCAGTTGGGGAATGGCTGGCCAGGCTATGGTATATGTGGATATGATGGAGGACTCTTGTGCTTTAAGAAATGGTCAAAGGGATGCTTTCTAAGGAATCTGGGAAGATGTATAGGAAATGATGCAGAGAGAAGTGAGCAGAATCAGGAGAGAAATGTTTACAGTAACAATAATGCTGTAAAACAAAACCTTGAAAGAATTAAGAATAAAAAAATTAAGAATTAAGATCACAATATGATCCCAGAGCACCCATGATGAAACATACAGTCCACCTCTTCACAGACGGGTGATGGACTCAGACCGCAGATGGACACACACACACACACACACACACAGAGGACATGCGAATGAAGGAATTTGTTTTGCTTGACTAAATATCTTACCAGGGCTTCATTTTTCTTTCTTTATTCAATGGGGGGGCAGAGATAAGAGGAAGAGAAAATCAGAACTAGGGATGGCAGGAAGCCTGTTTTGATTGGGTGAGGGGCTTGATCACACCCCAAGGAGCTTTAATCCAGGGTTCAGGAGCTGGTTAGAAATAGAGAGAGTTTGGCAACAGAGAAGAAAAAGCAGGCAAGTGAAGAGCTTAGCCGGAAGGAACCAGTAGGACAGGGACAGGAAGGAAAGTCAGCAGCCCTAGAGGGATCTCAATGCAGAAGGCTGAGGCTGATGTCCCAGGCAGTACCCACCTCCTGGAGGGCTGAGGGAAGTACTGAGAGGTCTGTTCCTTCTCACCTTCTGCTCCTGGGACCCACCCACAGGCATGGTAACATAGTTTGTTCCTTTACCCAAAAGTCCTTGGTAACCAGAATTCTGTCTGAACCACAGAGGTGAGGGGTTAATTAAAGATGGATATAAATGCAAACAAGGCAGAGGGCCCAGCCTCTGCCTAAATGTTAGGAATTGTCCTGGGGGGGAGGGCAGTTAGAGGGATGGTGATTGCACTCCTCGCTTTTCCTGGTTGTTCAACATCATACTGGGAACGTTAGCTTTGGCAATAAGAGAAGAAAAAGAAATTGAAGGAATTAGAATAGGCAAAGAAGAAACTAAGCTATCACTCTTTGCAGATAATATGATGATGTACTTAGAGAATCCTAGAGAATCAAGTAAAAAACTACTTGAAATAATAAACAACTTTAGCAAAGTTGCAGGTTATAAAATAAACCCGCATACATCATCGGCATTTCTACTCCTCACTTTTCATCTAGTGTAAACTCTCCTAAACAGGAGGGGAGGGAACCACATAGACCGGAGGGGTCACGATATGGCCCCTGAGCTTTCTATCTCCTGCTTACTGTAACAAAGAGTTACACAAAGCAAAGGCAAAAATAGTCCAGACCCCGTGAAGGACAGTGTGTGTATAAGTAGGCACACACAGGCTATGTCCAGAGGAGCCCGTTGAGGGGGAAGGCTCCTGGGGAACTGGGAAAGGACTCCAATGAGCGAAGGCATCTGAGCAGAGTGGAAGGAAGCCTGGCGATTCTCAAGAGCCAGAGAGTGTTCTCTCACCTGTGTAGGAAGGCCAAGAAGCAGAGGGGAGGTGAGCAGCTTGTGCAAAGCACGGAGGTGGAAAAGAGAATGGATGTCCTTTGCAGGCACAGAGAAGAGGCCAGATAATTGTCCACAGACTGCCTGAAGGAAAATATGCAACATGGAAGAAATCTAGAAATGTAGGCTGGAGTCAGACCTGTAAATGCCAAACAGATGAGGAATTGGGCCCCCAATGGCTCTGAAAGCAGGCAGTGATGCACTCACCTAGGTGCTGAGGAGGAAGGCTGGACTGGGCAGGGAGACTGTTACAACAGTGATGAGGCCCTGAACTGAGCTGGTGCTTATGTGAGCGGAGAAGAGGGTGGAAAGGAGCTAGACTGGACAAGACTGGTCAACTGATCGGACGTGGAGAGGAGGAGAATGGTGGAATTGAGGGCCTAGAAAAAGGGCTTAACCTGAGCAAGGATCTTCCTCTGTTACTGAACTGATTCTTCCTCTGTGAATGAGGCGAAGGAGAGTCGACTCTTGTCATATTGTCACAACTTTCTCAGTAAACTAGAAGTCTGAGTCATATGCTATAATTGTATTTGGTAAAGGGAAGTGCCTGGGGATTTGAGGAGGAATAAAGTTAATTAGGAAACTGCTTTGTCTATATAGTTTCACTTTAGGTAGAAATCTCTGTTTTGTGTGTGTGTGTGTGTGTGTGTGTGTGTGTGAGTGTTTAGTAAAATTTATACTTTGAAAATATCCTTATATGAATTATATTTAATAAGGATTTACCTTTTTAAGCTTCTCTCCACTGTGAATTTGGTTTTCAACCTGAAGGCCTTCACAATTTAATTACATTGCATATAGCTTCTCTCCAATGTGAATTCTCAGATGTCCATTAAGTCCTGTTCTTTGGCTAAAACCTTTTCCACATTCATTACATTCATAAGGCTTCTCACCAGTATGAACGGTCTGGTGTTGAGTAAGGTGTGCTTTCTGGCCAAAGGCCTTCCCACATTTGTTGCATTTATAAGGTTTTTCTCCACTGTGAATTTTATGATGTCTGTTCAGCTGTGTGCGCTTGGTGAAGGCCTTCCCACATTCGTTACATTCATATGGTTTCTCTCCAGTGTGAATTCTCTGGTGTTCAGTAAGTCCTGTGATCAGGCGGAAGGCCTTCCCACATTCATTGCATTCATAAGGTTTCTCTCCTGTATGAATTCTCAGATGTCCAATAAGTCCTATGCTTTGCCTAAAAGCCTTCCCACATTCATTACATTCATAAGGCTTCTCTCCAGTATGAACTGTCTGATGTTGTGTAAGGTGAGCTCTCTGACGAAACGTCTTTCCACATTCATTGCATTCATATGGTTTTTCTTCTGTATGAATTCTCTGATGTCTATTAAGTTGTGTGCTCTGGCTGAAAGCTTTCCCACATTCTTTACATTCATATGGTTTCTCTCCAGTATGAATTCGCTGATGTTCTGCAAGACCAGTGATTAGGCGGAAGGCCTTCCCACATTCATTACATTCAAAAGGTTTTTCACCAGTATGAATTCTCTGATGTTCAGCAAGTCCTGTGATCAGACGGAATGCCTTTCCACATTCATTACAACCAAAAGGTTTCTCTCCAGTATGAATTCTATTATGCTGTTTAAGATCTGCCCTACGACCGAAGGCTTTCCTACATTCATTGCATTCATAAGTTTTCTCTCCTGTATGAATTCTCTGATGTTCAGTAAGTCCTGTTCTCTGATGGAAGGACTTCCCACATTCATTACATTGAAAAGGTTTCTCTCCAGTATGAATTCTGTTATGTTGTTTTAGATCTGCCCTTCGAGTGAAGGCCTTTCTACATTCATTACATTCATAAGGTTTCTCTCCAGTATGAATTTTCTCATGTCGAGTAAGTTGTGAGCTCTGGCAGAAAGTTTTCCCACATTGATTACATTCATAAGGTTTTTCTCCACTATGAATTCTCTGATGCTGCGTAAGTCCTGTTTTTTGGCAAAAAGCCTTCCCACAGTCAGTACATTCATAAGCTCTTTCTCCGGTATGAATTCTCTGATGTCGAGTAAGCTGAGAACTTTGGCAAAAGGTCTTCCCACATTGATTACATTCGTAAGGTTTTTCTCCACTATGAATTCGCTGATGCTGAGTAAGTCCGGTTTTTTGGCAAAAGGCCTTCCCACAGTCATTACATTCATAAGCTCTCTCTCCAGTATGAATTCTCTTATGTCGAGTAAGTTGTATGCTCTGACGGAAGGCCTTGTCACATTCATTACACTCATAAGGTTTCTCTCCAGTATGAATTCTCTGATGTTGAATAAGCTGTGTGCTAAGGCGGAACAACTTCCCACATTCATTGCATTCATAAGGTTTCTCTCCAGTATGAACTGTCTGATGTTCAGTAAGCTGTGAATTTCGGCAAAAGGCCTTCGCACATACGTTACATTCATAAGGTTTCTCCCCCGTGTGAATTAGCTGATGTTCGGCAAGCTGTGAACACCATCGGAAGGCCTTCCTGCATTCATGACGTTCATATGGTTTCTTTGTAGTATGAAATGTATGATACTCAGTAAAGCCAAATTTATCACCAGAGGGTTTCCAACGTTCATTATACTTGCCCTTTTTAAGTATGTCCCATTTATGGAGACCCTTCTCCTCACTGTCCTGCTGTTTCTCTAAAATGGTATCAAGTTTCCATGCTTCTCCCATCCTGGAGACACAGGAATCATGTCCTGCCAGTCCTTCCTGGAATGATGCTTTAATAGCAAGGCCCAGCTTTGACAACGGCTCCTTGTTTTGGTGTGTAGTTTCCCAACCTAAAAGAAATAAAAAACGTAAATATTCCATGTATTCCCTGCTGCACACACAGGTTCCTGCCACCAAAAAAAAAAAAGAGAGAAAAAAAAAAGAGGGTCAAACTGATTTAGTGCAGTGGTTCTCAAAGTGTGGTCTGTGGACTTCAAGGGTCCCTGAGACCCTTTCAGGGGGCCTATGACGTCAAACTATTTTCGTAACAACACTGAGACTTTTTGGTCTTTCTTCCCCTTTCCAACTACTTAACTAGATGAGGCCAGATTTTCTTTATAAACTTCAAGCAAAACAACAAACCACCCACACCAGACTGAATGCAGAAGCAGATCAGTCTGCTCAATGTCTTCTCTTAAGCCATACATTATAGAGATCTGCAAACATGTGTAAAACAATACCCATTTTCCCCCTAATTTTTTGGGGGGGAAATTTAGTTATTTTTCATGAAAATGTTATTTATGTTAACATGTAATTATTTTAACTGAATTAATAAATATTTTAAGATTTCATTAATGACAAATATAGCTAGCTATAACCCACATAAACAAAGGCTCTTTGGGGCCCTCAATAGTTCTGAAGAGCGTAAAGGAGTCCTGGGACCAAAAAGTTTAAAAACCACAGCTTTAGTGATTTGCCTCAGGTCACGCTATTCCCGATGTCCCTAAGGCTCAGGTCTGACCATGTCACCTCCTTACCTCCAGTGGCTTCCTATTGCCTCCGGATCAAATACAAATGCTCTGCACGGTTTTCAAAGCCCTTCGTAACCCAGCTCCCTCCTCCCTTTCCAGTCTTCTGCCTTATGCTCTCCACATATTCCAATGATCCAGGGACACTCACCTCCTTCTGTTCGCTCCAGGCATTTTCTCTGGCTGTAATTTTTCCTGTGTCTGTAATTGTCTCCTTCCTCATCTCCACCACCTGACTTCCCTTAAGTCTCAATTAAAATCACCTCTTTTACAGGAATCCCTCTTTATTCCAGTGCCTTCCCTCTGCTAATTACTTCCTCTTCATCACTTATAGCCTGCTTTGTATATATTTGTTTATGTGCTGTCTCCCCATTAGATTTTGAGCTCCTTGAGGGCACAGACTGTCTTTTGTCTCTTTTTGTATCCCCACAGGGTCTACCACATCGTAGGTGCTTAATAAATGTTTACTGGTTGATTGGCTGAATATTAAAGGTCAAAACTGAATTATAAATCATAGTTGTTTGCTCTAACTCCAGTACCCTTCCCAGGATATCACAGTACTTTTCAACAGTACTGTGACTCACCAACCAGAGCTGTGACAAAGTGCCCCGACCAGTGCACCTCTGTAGAGAGGACAGGCAGCCTTGCTGGGGAGAGCAAGAGTTGGGCCCCTAAATGGCAGGGAGCCCTGCAGCCCCTCTCCCTAACTCAGGGATCTCTCAGCCAGGCAGTCGCCTGATATCCTGGTGGGCATGGCGCTGTGATTCAGGACTGAAGGCGAGGGTTGATGGTCTCTACCTTGTGCCTTAGCAACAGGGAGTTCCATAGGTCCCTGAGATTTATGGGTGCTGACCAAGGCTGGGATGAGGCCGTCTGGCTGCTGAGCCATGGAGGGGCAGGCCTTGGCCTCACCAGGGCCGGGGTCTGCCGCGCTTGCCTTAGCATTGTCAGGGAATCTCGCCCTCCAGGCAGTGAAAGCTGGGACACCACAGGATAGTAGCAAAGCTACGCTGGACCTAGGGCCTTGGACCTCCCCGCCCCAGCCATCTTTCTGTCGTACTGGGCTGCCCTCCTTAAGGACCCTTAGCTCCAAACACAAGGAAAACAGCATGAACCCAGCAATAACACCTACATCAATGGACGTATCCAATGTGTGACCCCTCTGCCTGACGCTCCTCTCACAGACTAAAGAAGCTGTCACGGCCTTTTAAGAGCCAGCAGGGGCTCAGAGCCTGTAGCATCCAGAGGCAGACAGCTGTGGCTCCTATGTGTGGACTCAGGGGGCTGAGGGCTCCAACTTTCTCCTGTTTCCAATGGGCAGAGCTTGCTGTTTCCAGTCCAGATGTTGTCTGCCAGCTGGAGAGAAGGGAAGGACCTTGGATGCCCGAGGGAGACGTCCCAGGGAGCCTTGGGTACACACTATGTGTCTTCCCCAGTGGGGTCAGGCAAGGACTTTTCTCTGCGGATGAACTTTACAGAAAACGATGAGAGACGGTGAAAGGTGTTAGCTTGAGAGATACTCAAGGGGAGATTCCTGATGCTACGGGAGACCCAGAAGGAGATGAGAGGAAGAGTCCTTCCTTTCTGATCAAGCCGATTTCAACAGTATTTCTCAAAGCCGAGGCAGAAGGAGAACGCTACTGACTGTCGGAGACACCAGCTGGAGCATCCGTGCCTGCTGAGCAGTGAGGAAGGGACGCTTCTTTGTGGTTATTACAGCTCCCGTTAGGTAATGTGTCACGTGCAGTCACTTTCATATCTACTTAGGTATAGAAAAATAAGTCCTTTTCACGGAAGGCATCCAGGTGGGGGCTCAAGGCTAAGTTACTCTCTCCATGGTTTGCACTGCAGGACCATCCTGCCACTCCCAGGACAAGCTCTTCACCAGAAACCTCATCTCCCCGCAGACCCACTCAGCTTTCACACTCAACGCCTCCTCAGCCCCTTGGCCTCCTTTCCCTTGGCTGATGCGTTGCCGCTTGGCCCCTGAGTCTCCGTTCTCCATCAGCAGCTTGGCACGGATTTGACTCCACCAACATCGTGCCCTGCCAGGTATCCCATATCAAGCCCCCGCCCCGGATTTCCTTTTGTGTACTGTCTTCCCAATTAGATCATAAGCTCTTTGAGAGCAGCGACTGTTGTTCTTTTTCTATTTGTCTCCCCTGTGCTTACCACGCTGCCTAGCACATAGTAGTTGTTGAGTAAATGTTTACTAAGTGAAAGGGCGCTCCCTGAAAGGAGCTGGACCAGCTTCCCTACTTTGGGGAAGGCCAACCAGCCATCGCTGGTACACTTGGGAGGAAGGTGAGTCCATGGAAAGAGCCCGCCTATGGGGTGGGGCCACCCATGCCACAAAAGTAACACTAATCCAACCACCAACAGGATTAAAAACAGAGATTAAGTGGAGCTGGGGGGAATTTAGGTGGAAAAACAAACTAATGAGAATATCAAGGGGAATTATGGCTGGAAAAGGGGGGAGAGGAACATGCATTCCATTCAATGAATTCCAGAAGTAGAGAGACGGTTTAGACTTTTAAAAATCATTTTAAACTATTGTAGACAACAAAGATATATATACACATTAAAAAAAAGAGGAATAGATGGCAGGGGAGTGGGAGAGAATCACCTTAAATATTTGTGCTAAAATTCTGCCATTTAAAACCTAAAACTGTACAAATTTATAAAAGTAAAACCCATTTTCTAAAAGAGAAATGGTTTAAGCATATGAATGGAGAGGCCCGCACCCCCAATTATCAATAACCAAAAGAAAACCCGTCCAGACTTCCTAGCAATCTGACAAATGCAAATGAAATCAGCTCTGGGACACCAACACATTCTGTCAGAAAACCTGGCTTCCATGATATCGTGCAGCTCTGGTGGAGCTGGGGAGAGCCAAGCCCAGGTCACCCACTGCTGGGGGGCTGTAAGCCGGTGCCATCTTTCTGACCAAAAGACCAATACTCACAGAGAGCTAGAGAAGCCTTCCTGCCCTTGGGCCCTGAGATTCGGGAGCTGAGATGAGAAAGAAAACACGATATTCCTTCCCACAGCTTCAGGCCAAACAACCGAAGGCTGGAAACGAGCCTGGGTTGGAGGCTGGGGCTGGGCCCGGAAGAGTCCTGGCTAGGGAGGCCCTCACTGTGCCTTCCTGGCCCAGGTACCAGGAACACTAAGGACAATGGGAAGACTTCAATCAAGTGCCACCCAAGAAAGCAAGCAAAGGGAGCAGCCAGCGCTGCACCCACTACAATTGGGCCCAAGAGTCCCAAGGAGCAAAGGGTGGGGTCAGGGGGGTAAAGAGGATGTCCAATTCAATGTAATCTGCCCAAGAGAGACAGAATGAATCTGGGGGATGGGCAGCCAGGCAGGCACGCGGCATCCCTAGGGACAGTGCGGAGAGGAGCCCCCTCCCCCGCCGACTGCCTTCTCCACAGGCCAGGTAGCTGCCTGAGAGGTCATGGCCCCTCCCCAGAACGTGCTTTCCCTTACGCGACCAACTCACCTGCCCGGACTGACTCACTCACCTGCCCGGCTGCTCCCTGGGACGTCTCCTTCGGGCATCCAAGGTCCTTCCCCTCTCTCCAGCTGGCAGACAACGTCTGGACTGGAAACGGCAAGCCCTACCCATTGGAAACAGGAGAAAGTTGGAGCCCTCAGCCCTGAGTCCACTCAGCCCTGGAAAGTGGGCATGCTAGGAGGGGCTCATGGGGGGCCCAGGGGCCTCCAGAAGGGCTTCAGCCTCACGCTCACTGGAGTCATAGGAAATGGGCCACATGGGGGTTTGGAATCAGAAAGAAAGGAAATTCATTTGACCTAGGAGCTGAGAAAAGGCTGGCCACCAGAGGATTGGCAATCTCTGGTTCAGCTTGGCAAAAAACAAGTCATGGCACTTGCCAGGGGAGGAAGGGCCTGGGGGAGCCTCCTCACCCAGGCACACCAGGTTCCCGTAGTTCTCCAGCATCACCTCCCGGTACAGCTCCTTCTGGGCGGGGCCCAGCTGCCCCCACTCCTCCCAGGTCAAGTCCACGGCCACGTCCTGGAAGGTCACGGACCCCTGAAAGACCAAAGATACTTGCGCTCACCCGGGGATCCCTCCTTTTGATGTGGAGGACACGGGGCACTGGAAAGAAGCGCAGGGAGTGGCTCTCAGTGCCTGGGCTTGAGTACCTTGGCTGAAGCGTTTAGTGGGCTCCTGCTGTATGCACAGGCTGTCCTGGATTCTGAATCCTGCCACATAATGACAAAAGAGCACCAGCTCCTGTTTCTAGCACCTTCCTTAGTTTGTCACTCTAGGAGGCAGGCATCGAATGTTGCATTTTCACTCCAAAGGGATCGAGTAAAATTGCTTGTGCAGAACAAGTAACGTGCCCCGAATAGAAAGGGGAAAAAGGGACAAATGGGCTTCAGCATAAATATCTCATCTGAAAATAGGATTTTCACAATCTAAGCAATGGAAGCCAATTCTGTTCACCTTTTGCATTTTTCAGGCCCTAAGTGGGAGGCTGGAGGGAGGGGCTGTTCTTATCCCCATTTTACAGCTTAGGACACCAAGGCAAGCAGAGGGGAAGGGCCTTGCGCAGGGTCACATAGCCAGGGAGTGCCCCACACTGTGGTCTGACCCACAGCCCTGTGGTCAGTAACCGCCAGTGGCTCCCTATTGCCCAGAGGACCAAAGCTAAGCTGTCCACTTGGTACTTAGAGTCCTTCCTACCTCTCCAGTCAGCCTAGACTTCGCTACCCTCCACACACTGGCACTGGCAGGCCCAGACCTACTGCCTCCTCTGGGTTCTGGGGCCTCCCTTGGCCTCTGCACAGCAGCCCCTCTGAGATCACCTCTCCCAGACTCAGCAGATTTCTTTGAATCTGGTCATCTGCACACTGTCCTCTGCGCCTGGAGGGCACGGAAGCTGGTTTTGACTCCTTGTAGCCCTATAGCACAGTGCCTGGCGCACAGTAGGTACTTAGCAATGCCGACTGACTGAGGGTCTGCTTCTGGCTTCCGGGGTGGGGGGAAGGGCAGGAAGACTTGAGCTAACTGAGGAGAAGGTGACGGGGAAGGAGCTTTGCAGGTATCTGGACTGTAAAGAAGGGCAGCAATTGAATATGGGGAGCAGAAATCTGGGAGAAACTGAGGCAGCCAAGGAGGACGATCTCCAAAGACACAGTCTCCTGCCTGCTCTTCGGAGGGATGGCTGAAGTAAAAGAGGCCAAGAGAGGGGCTCAAGGCAGGGCCAGTCAACAACTGCCAAGGCTGCTGTGGGCACCACTGTGCACAGAATGCTGGGCCTGGAGCGAGCAAGGCCCAAGTTCAAAACCCGCCTCACACACTTACCAGTTAGACAACCCTGCGCTGCCTGCCTCAGTTTCCCCATCTGTAAAAGGTGATAATAATGGCACCTGCCTTCCAGGGGGTTAAAATGGGATATTTGCAATCTCTTAGCACAGTGCCTGGATCACAGTAAGTGCTTAATAAATGTTTCCTTCCTTCTTTCCTGGCAAACTGGTAAGCAAAGTAGTGAAATAAATCAGGTTAATCCGAAAAGGGAAAATGAGTGACAAGTGGGGGATGTCCTGGCGACACTGTGGAGGGTGCAGGGATATTCTCTGACTGACTCAGGTCAGCCGGCCTCAAGTTGAGGAGGGGGCTCCTGAGTCAGCCCTGGCCACTCTGGTGCCACCTTTGCTTGCCATTAGGCCCTCTCCCCTGGAGGCCATCCTTGGTGGTGGGAGCCTCTGATCTCGTACACTCCAAAGATCCCAGGGTGCTCTGGCAATCTGGCAACTCAAGCCAGCAATGTCAGTGCCCGGAGGTGCAGGGAGTGACTTTGGGACCCCGGCTCAGTGGCAGCTGCCACGAAGGCTCATCCGGCAGCCATGCTGCCTTTGGATACAAACTTGGTGGAACACCAAGGAAGGTAGCAGGTGAGCTAAGCTGAGCCTCTTCTCCCCCGAGACCAAGGCTGGGGTGAGAGAATACGCCCTGAGGTGCTGGGAAAAATGTTCACCTGGATATTAAATGGCTAAATGTCACTGGCCCTTAACAGACGGAGTGAGCACCCACCGATGGGGGCTCACACTGAAAGTCCTAAGGACAGAGAGCCCCACCCCCTCAGGGTCTACTAGGAGTCTGAGAGAAGATGGAGCTGCCCAGGCTGGACAGAAGGCCAGGGCACACTCACCCCAGAGGGACAAAGTGTGTGGCCCCACAGCAGGGGTAGAGACAAAGGAGAAATCAGGGACAGCGGTACCCAGGTATCCAGATCTCTTTTTTTTTTTAATTAATTTTTTTACTTAACAAAAATTTAGGTTCTCTCTCTCCCATTCCTACTCCTCTCTTCCGTGAAAAAAAAAAGAAAAAGAAAAAGAAAACCCTTGTAACAAATCTGCAAAGTCGAGCAAATTCCTACACTGGCCACACCCGACAGATCTGGGCCTCATACTCCTGCCAGCTACCAAGATCTTTGCAAGACTGTGAAGATGTCACGGATGCAGCAGGCAAGAAAACCCGCAGGACATTCCAAAGTCAAGGCCGGCTTCTAAAATGCCCAGGAAGCAGGGCAGACTCTGCCCTCGGCGCTGCTGCCTTAGCTCAGCAGAGGAGACACGCTCCTCTCCAGAATGAAAGAGAGCTGTGTCAGAAGCTCTCTGGGAGAGCTGCTCCATGAGGGGCCAGCATGGGCAGGTGATTGGTAACTCCAACCAAGGGGGAGGGTCCTGCCTGGTGAAGTCAGCCTAGGAGGGGGGAAGCCCTCAGAAGGAGAGTCTGAGGACGCCAAGGCAGCCGATTTAGAAGAGGAGGAAAGTGGGACCTCTGAAGGCGCAGATGTGGCTGCACAGGGAGCTCACTGCCTGACCGGAAGGGAGTCAGTATTAATGGGACATTTCATCCTTGAGACTGGGCCTGTCTTTGGCCATTCTTTGTAACCCAGTGCCTGGTGCAGAGCAGGCCCTGGATGCTTCTTGACTGACTGAGCTACCGAGCATTTCTCCCAAAGGCTCACACCTGTGAGCCAAGCCAGAAAACTTCTTACCTGTGCTCATAATCTTGGACCATCAGGCAGGGCATTATTGGGCAAACGGCTTTACCTGCGACAACCCTGGGAGAGGGCAGCAGGCATAACAGTTATTAGGACTCCTACCTTACAGAAGAGGAAACTGAGGCTGAGAGAGAGGGGAGCCCATGGTGCCACAGCCAAGCCCATCCCAGGTCTCCCCCAGCACAAATGCCTCTTCCTGGAGCAGCAGTCACCCTGAGGGCAGCTTTCCTTTCCTCCTCTGCCTTGAGGCCCAAGTCACCTCCTGACAGGCCCAGACAAGGACAAGGGGGGGCAGGGCAGGACCTGGAAGCACAGCACAGAGCCAGGCACACAGCAGGCAGTTAACAACTGCTCTCAAAGGACTGATCCCTAGGAAAAGATGAAGCCCCTCCCTGTTCTGGGCCCCTGCAGCGTGCTTAATCCTGAGTGGGGGTCCCACTGGTCTTGGATGGGAAGGGGAGGAACCAGGAATGGATACAAGGCTTGGGGGGGGGGGGTTCCTACCCTTCCTCTCCAGCACTTACTATCAGTGTGATCCTGAGCAAGCGGCCTGCCTTCGCTGACCCTCAGCTTCTCACCTGTGAGGGGGTGAGCAGTCTGGGATGGGAGGACTGAAGAACGCTGGCTCTCCCCTGAGACCTTGGGAAAGTCCCCTGCACTCTCTGGGCCTCAGTTGCCTCATCTGTAAAATGGAGATGCCACTACCTGGACTGCCTCCTAACAGGGATGGGGGTGGGGAGTGGACAGGCTGTGCTTGGTCAGACTTACCCTTGGAAACAAAACAGATGTTTGCTGCCCCTGTTACTAGGCTCCTTCTGTTTCCCTCAAGGCACAGCTGGCTGGTACCGAGCACCCTGGAGACCTGATCACCCTGACAAGTGAAGGGGGCGCCCGGGGAGGGAAGAAAGGGGGGCCCTGGGGAGCGGCTGGCTCGAGAGGAGTTACTGGGGCTGGTCCTCCCAATCGATCACCACCCCGCCAGGGCAGGGCCTGACCGGACCCGAGGCCCTTCCAGCTCTGAACTGGTGACCATGCTGGCCCCAATATTCCAGAGTGGAGCAGGCATTCTGGTTAAGCCCGTGGTCTTTCTCAGACTAATGTTGTTAAATGCATTAGACAGGAATAGGGGCATCGGGAGGGACACCAGCTACATGTAAATTCAGCTGCACAGAACCCAGGCGAGGAACTCCTGCATGAAGGGACCGGGAAAGAACCAACATCGGTCAGCCAATACGCATTTATTAAGCTCCTACTGTGTGCCAGGCTCCGGGGAAAGCGGCTCCTGCCCTGGAGGAGCAACCAGACTAATTGGGGAGCGAACATGGGGGTACACTGGGGAGAACCAGCCAAGCCCTCCTAGTGTGGGGGAGCCCCAAAGGCGGGGTTCTGCTGAGCAGAATGGGGGGGCGAGGTGGGGGAGGGAGCGGCCAGGACGGGGGCCGGGAAAAGGAGGCGGCAGCTTTGAATTTGGTCCTGGAGGCCGCGGGGAGCCCCTGAGGGACACGGCCGGACCGCAGTGAGGAGACTGAGGCACCGGACCACGGGGATCAGCCCAGGGAAAGGGAGACCCGCACTTACCTGGCGGGCCCCGGCGGGGAGGCGCCCCGAGGCCATTCGGCGCTTCCCGACTCCCCGTCCTACGGGAGAGGACGCCCCGGTCCCCCTGGGGAAAGAGGCCGGGATGACGACGCCGACCCCGGCCCGGGTCGGGACGTCAGCAGGACAGCTCCCGGGGCTCCAGGGACCAGAGGCAGACCCGGCAGAGCCCAGGACGCCAGGGCCGGGGGCGGGGCGGCGCTGCCTCCGCCGATTGGCTGCCGAGAAACGCCCCCGCCCTCGAACCAATGGGAGTTCCCGCCCGTCCGGGGGCGTGGCCACACACTGCGCACGCGTGCATCTCTTCCGGCCGCGCTCCGCCCCCTCGTTTCTCCCAGAAGCTCAGAAAGCTGGAACTTGGCTCTTGTCCGCCTGCTCTGCTTGCTGCGTCCCCAGGCTCCGGCCCTCATTCACCCCGGTTCGGGTGCAGTACTGAGGCCTCAGCGGCGGCGGCTGAGAGGAGAGGTGGCAGAAAGAACGAGTGAACGGAAATGACGGGCGATCACGGCTTCCTGGATAAGGCTCGATCACGTGGCAGGCAACGCCTTCTGGGAAATGTAGTCGGGAGGCTGGAGCCGCTTGAGCGCATGCTCGGAGACCCTACTGCGCCTCCCAGCGGCAGCTGCTGCTCGTGGCCACCCACGAGGCTGCTGTGTTGTAGGACTGGCAGCCCCCCCCCACCCCACCCCCCGCCGCATCCGGACTGGAGCGGGGGGGATAGGGATGGGGGGGAGGGGGTTATCTGCTCTACCTCCCTCTGACCAGGCGGCTCTGCGCCTCCCCGGGGTCTCTAACCTCTGACAGCTGCCCGTGAGCCCTTCCCCCCCACCTTGCCTTCCACACTGAAGGGGCTGGTGCCCCAAACCACCATTCAACCAGCCTGTATTAGCTGCCAAACAAGAAACCGCCCCTGCCCGCAAGAGGCTTCCACTTGACATCGAACCTGGAGCCCTGGTCCTGGAGACAAGAAGACCTGAGTTCAAGTCCTGCTCGGATGCTCCCTAGTTGTGTGATTTAAGTAATTTAACTTCCCTGAACCTCAGTTTCCTCATCTGTAGAATGAGGGCATTGGCATCCTTGTGGGAACAGTATCTCCTTCTGAATTCATATAACTGCTGCCAGAATTTAAGGAGGTAAGGAAGACTTGGGCTTTATCATTGTGCTTAAGCATCAGTTCAGCTGACCAAAAAAACCTACATCAGGAAAATGAGGATTCAAACAAGGCCTCTTCTGGTCAAAATTCCATCCGGGTGGTGGAGAAACAATTCCTGTACGTGTTGCAATGTTGCACATTCCTCTCAAGCCATGAAAGCCAGACTCGTCATCCCACCCTTCCTTCAGTGTGATGAAGGCTGAACAAATCTAGTTCAACAGATTCATGATCTCATGCACAAACAAACCTAATCAAGCCGACTTTGTAGATAAACAAGGGTTTAGAGGGTTCAAGAGTAGGCTGGTTGCGGGGGAGACTCTTCCTCTGTCTTCTTAACTAAGGTCTTAAGCAAATTTTCACATCCTATGGGACAGGTTTTGGTCAGGTGAGGTTAATATTAACAGAAGACAGGCTTCCAGTTAACCAAGAGTTGCAGAAGGAATGACTCTGAGCCTCAAATAAAAAAAAAAAAAATTCTCCATACAAAAGACCTCTAAGCTTCCTTCCAGTCTATGAGAATATGTCTACATGCAGGGTGTCCTAAAAAGTCTTAGTGCAGTTTTAAGCTTTCTACAGACCTGAAGTGAAAAATAAAGAGAAAAGCATTCTAGTCATTGCATGACGATATGGGCAAAGACACCAAGGTAGGAAATGGAATGCTTTAGATGAGAGCAGCAAGTCAGCTAGTCTGGCTGGATTGTAAAGCGTGGGCGAAGGAATAACACACAGTCGGTCTGGAAAGGCAGGCTGGAGCCAGGTGGAAGCACTTTAATTCCCAGTGGATGAGATGGCCACTTGTCCTAGAGGTGATAGGGAGCGCCTGGAACCTTGTGACCAGTCAAGTGATATGATCAGACCTGTGTTTCAGGAACAGCGGCATCTGTGCAGCACTTTCCACATATTATCTCATTTGATCCTCACAAACACTCTAAGGTAGGTGTTATTGCTGCCCACATTTCTTTGTCAGCTGTATAAAGGAAGGATTGCAGAGGGGAGACCAAGTAGAAGCCTTTTGCAGTAGGCCAGGCAAGAGGCAATGTGGGCCTGCACCTGACTGTTGGCCGTGGGAGATGGGAACAGATGCAAGAGATGGTGTGGAGGGAGAATCAGTGAGACTTGACAGACGATGTGATGTGGGGGTGGGGGTAAGGGAGAGCTGAGAAGTGGAGGATGAGTCCAGAGTTGCATGATTGGGTGTCTGGATTGGTTGTGTCCTTGACATAAGCAGGGCTGGTCTGAAGACTTGTGAGTTTGGGGGAGAAGATAATGACAGATTTTGGGCTGAGAGATAACGACCTCTTCTGGAGATACTGAGTTAAAAGTACCTACAGGACATCACATTGGGAATGCAAAATAGACAATTGATGATGTGGGAAGTGACCTGATGGGTAGGTGTGGGAGTCATCTGCACAGAAATGATCATCGAAGCAATGAGATTTGGAGATGTCATTAAGAGTGA